GGAGAAGGAGGGGGAGGAGGACGGTCGTGGTTTTTTTTTTTTTTTGTAAGAAGAAGAAGAAGAAGAAGGAGAAGAAGAAGAAGAGGAGAAAGAAAATGAGTGGTGGAAAAGGGGAAGACGACGACGACGACGACGACGAAGAAGAAGAAGAAGAAGAAGAAGAAGAAGAAGAAGAAGAAGAAGAAGAGGAAGAAGAACGGCGCCTTCGTCGTCGGGGCATTCGTCGTCGCACCAGGACCTTCGTCGTAGCAGCAGCAGCAGGACAGTCGGGGCCTTCGTCGTCGCAGCAGCGGCAGGACAGTCGGGGCCTTCGTCAGAGGAGCAGCAGCTGCAAACCTGCTGGCGACGGCGACGGGCGACGGCGACGGCGACGGGCGACGGCGACGGGCGACGGGCGACGGCGCAGCAGGAGGTCGGCATCAACTGGGATCGTGCTGGGGGGCGAGTAGCAGACCACCCCTAGCCGATCGGAGGTTTGAATGGGGCGGGGAATGGGGCGGGGAATGGGGCGGGGAAGTTTGGCTCCAGGATCCCAGGGCTCTGTGGACGTCGATCATGGTGGATCGACGGCTACAGAGCCGACGGGACATTCAAAAAAGTAAGCAGGCCTACCAGGCCCGACGCGCCGTTTTTTTGGGCTGGTCGGACCCGGTAGGCCTGCAGGAGGCCGGTACCAGCCGAAATGGGGTCCGAAACCCCCCGGCAGGTGACTGCGCTGGGGAGGCCCGGCCCCCAACCCGGTGCCCTGCCCAGCCAGGCCGCCTGGGACCTCCCCCGGGCCGCGGCCTGTCACCCGGGCGGCCCGGTTCCCCACTCAGTTTTTTTTTTTTTTTTTTGGGTTTAACATCCGCCTCTTACTGGGGTTGAGCATAGCGAAACACTCTGAAATGCACATACCATCAACACTCAAATGAAAATTGGACAATAACGTCTACATGCACGAGAGGACAGAAAGTGAAGGAACTGGAAGAACATATAGAAGGAGAAAATAATTGGCTCTAGTCTAAACTTGCTGTGGAACTGGACAAACCCTCAGCAGTCACACAATCCAAGGAAGGTGGAATGCTTCTATGAAATGGAGATGGAGAGAATTAGCTGCATGCTCTCACCGGTTTACGTGGTAACAGCATTTCGATTCGCGCTACCATAACAGCATTTCGATTCGCGCCTGAGATGGTAGCGAAAGAGGCAGGCCACTTTCAAAAGGTGCAGTTGCAGGCTCACGAGCTTTGGGAGGTAGCTTCGCCAACTTAGGCTCCAGTGAACTGGTGGTTTAAAATTGAAAAGGTGGTAGCTGAAAATCGGAACACACAACATCTGTTAAGGCCCTGGTCTACCAAAGGCCCCAGATTCACATTGAAACACTGGCATTGCAAAGTTGCGAACAGATGCCTGGAGATTGTGATGAAACTGAGGTAGGATCTGGGTGGTTGGCGTGGTGGTGCAGTACTCCTCAATGGGCTTCGCTTTCACTCCAGCCCACATCGCCTATTGGTTAAGTCTCTGCTTTCTGAGCTGAGGGTCGTTCGTTTGATTCCTTTGGAGTGAGCTTGGTGTGAAGTTCTCCTGTATGAGACTGGCGTAGTAACCAGTGCCGGTTGCTGAAGTATTGGGTGCGCCTTAGTGGTAGTGTGGTTGGGTGCAATGGGTCATGGTGAAATTCATGTTGGGTTGGGGGCGAAGTACTCCCCAATGGGCTTCACTTTCACCCCAGTCCACTTAGCTTATTGGTTAAGTCTCCTCTTCCTAAGTGGAAAGTTGCTAGATCAATTCCTTTGGAGTCTGGACCAATCTTGGTGTGAAGTTCTCATATCATTGACATACACCCACAACTTATCATGTATTCCATGCCTCCAAGTTATTGCCTTGTGTAACAGACACCTCGTTTCCCTCGCGCATGTCTATGATTCTGCCTGATATGGGCGGAAGATGCGCATCGTTGACGGAGACAACTACGAATCAGGAAGGTGGAGGCAACCACAGAGGCAGTAGAAAGTCTGATGCCGATATCAGGAACTGGAGGATGATCGATAGTTTACAAACACTGAATTAAGCGAGACAGCTCCTAAATTAGGCTCTCACTATGAACAAGCTCAGAGGTGGATCCGCACTGCAGACAGGTTATAAAGACTGTAGCGTTCTTGGAAGACCCCGAATTTAGGCAGGCAGGAATGAAACAACTTCATTCATGTCAGCGTCAATGTTCTAGTCTCCGTCCCAAGGTTTCATAGTCTCATACACTAAAATACTCCCGGCAGGTAGGCAAGTAGGTCCAGGCCCTAGGTCCATAGGTCCGGTAGGCCCTTTGGTGATGAGACCAGTCAGTCAGGTCAGAAGCTCGGCCCCAGGCAAGTCAGTTGACTTTCCGGAAAGTCCGGCCATGGCCGTCAAAGTGAAGGTACCGGGCCGAAAGTTCCAAGATTGGGAGCTGCATCACAATCCTGAAGTCCACCACCAAAAAGTGCAAGGTCAATTCCATTCAAGCTTGTTGTGGACTTGCTCATCCACACATCAACTGAGGCTGAGTGTAGACAGGTAGAGTAGTCGACGGTGCCTGGCGCCATAGCTCTTGCTTGAGAGAGAGAGAGAGAGAGAGAGAGAGAGAGAGAGAGAGAGAGAGAGAGAGAGAGAGAGAGAGAGAGAGAGAGAGAGAGNGAGAGAGAGAGAGAGAGAGAGAGAGAGAGAGAGAGAGAGAGAGAGAGAGAGAGAGAGAGAGAGAGAGAAGGAGAGAAGTGAGCAAGATATTCAGAGAGTGAGCTAGGCCTGAGGGTGGAGCAGGATAGCAAGGGAAAGGGAGAGAGAGAGAGAGAGTTTATACCTGAGTGTAGTAGCTCGACGGCCATAGCCGCCCACGCCTGTACGAATTCTTGCCAATGGATAAGACTTCGATTCCCAGACAATCGTTGACACTCTCACATCTCGTGTTGGTTCTATATCTGGCATCAGTAGTCATATGATGAAGTGTGACATCGATGTGTTGTCATATGTGGTGTGAATCGTGGGCTCATTGCAGTTTGGATTGATGATGTCTTTTGTCATTTCCTCAACTTTGGGTTTTGTTACTTTTGTATCACGAATGAGCCAGGATCATAGCAGTTCCGGTGTTTGGGTTACTTAGGGCATACTCTCACACGAGGAATTTTCTAAACGTGTGTGACTGCGCTTACAGCCAGTCCTGGATGAATCTGACTGGAATCCCGTCCAGAGCTTAGTAGAAAAAGTCCTAGTGTGAGTATGCCCTTAGACTACTCTGAGCGACTGGGATATCGTATTTACAGGCAAACAACTACAGATTTTCGTGAAGCTATATTTCATGCGCCTAACTTACTGAATTATTGCCTTGCGTGGAAAAGACTGTACGGGTGTGTGAGATCGATCACAGTCTCAAGCACAGTTCGTTAGGGAAGAGTGCCAATGAGATAGGCCACAGAAGCAATACAAGGTAAGATTTACACGTCCCAAGGCACGGTAGATGGTTTATTAGAAGGGAGTTAGAAGGGACTGTACCTAGAATTGCTGCTGGTTATGAAAAGAAAATAAGACGTATAACAAAGACTGAACCAGAAGAAGAATGGAGTCTCTTCATGAAACCTTGAAATTAGGATGGTGAGAGAGCAGGGATCCGGCCTGAAAACCCAGCACAGAACTCAGTCCGGATGGTCTTTAGTCTGGGAAGAGCCCAGTTCCAGTCCAGGCAGCCTTGTCCTCCAGAAAGTGGCAAAAGGGAGAAGGGCCGCAGCATTCGACACATTCGGAATCTCTGACTGTCAGCGCTAGCTCTGTTGAGAGTGCACACGGTCAGGCCAGCCTTCATCGAGGAAGAAGGGTGAGGAGTAGCCACGGGTCGCTGCTCAGCCAGCAGCGACCATAGCTGCACTCGGTGGAAGAAGGTGGCACTGGCACTGTGGTGATCAGGGGAGAAGGATAGCAGTGGGAACATGTGGACATACTTGGCGACGGTGAAAGAGGACACTCGAGGTGGTCAGTCTCTGCACCATTGCTAGGCGCGAGGAGAGAACAGAGAGAAAGTGGTTGTATTGATGAATGGAGGTGAGAGGTGGGGCTTTCTTTATCAAGAGACTTCGGTGTCAGTGTGTTCTTTTTTTTGTTTGTTTGTTTTTTAATCAAAGTATGATCTTATGTTCCTGCTCCTTTTCCATTCTGGGGAGCGTCAGTCCAGTTCCGTTTCCACCGGCAAGTCAGAGAAATACATCAGTTGTACACTCTCACACATCCTCCCGTTGGCCGGAGGATCCCTGGATAGAATTGATTGCTCTATTTCCATAGAGGATTGACTTCCAGCTTGCCTTTCTCCTCCTGATTCCTCTCAGGCTAAGGAGCCTGTCGGATCTTTGTGGTTGCCTAGAATCTAGGGAAGAAGACTGGTATCATCGACGGTTGGCAGCCTCTGTCCTCATTGCTCTGGTATCCATTGCTTGCCTACTACTTGGGCCCTATCCAGCCTGTTCCTATCAGCTCCTTGTCTAACAGGTACTCCCTAACTGCCAGAGATACAGTCTTAAAATCAGTCCACTAATGGCCAATATTGTGCTAGCTTACACGGGTCACGCTCCTAGCCCCCTCTCCCCAAGTGCCGACATCAGCATTAAATTGTGCTTCCCCCCGGGATACCCCAGGGGGTTATGCGCCCAACCCCTGACTATCCGTTGATCTCCCGGCCAAACAACCTGGTTTCTGCGCTCAAGTGGCTACTCGGGGAGAGCCCACATCTCCCTCGTGCCCTGGACCGGCCCTATCCGGTTCTGTGATTAGGCAGACACTATGCTGGCCTCTGCCCTCGTTTCTCCGCTCGCTTTGGACCGGATTGCCTCCCATTGGCCCTCGGAATCGCCCAACTGCGTGCTGTGTCTCCATGCACACCTAAGCCAGAGCCCGTCAATGGTGCCTAGCTTCCCGTTTCCCAGGGTGTCCCTCATGAAATTGTCCAAGGTTTCCTGCCTTTTCTCCGGTTCCTGCTTAATTAGCTTCACAGCCTTCTGCCAATTTGCTTGATATTCTGTGTCCAGCAGCGTGTTGAGATCCTCCCAAGCCTTCTCGGGTGCCACCTCCTGGTCTTCAATGGTTTCTTTAAATCTTTTCCAGATTACCCAGAATGCGAAAGGCCGAAGCTTTCGAAAGAAGTTACTCGCCCACTAATCTAGGTTACCTGATTGTTGGACTCCCGTGACGAGGGTAAGGGTGTCTTTTGTGCAGTTGCCGCCTGTGGTCTGCCACCACAACTGTTTCGCCTTGGGTGATATCCTCCACCACTCCCTCCTAAGGGTGTCTCTTGTGCAGTCACCGCTGGTGGTCTGCCGCCAACGTTCTGTGGTACGGCTCCACAACTGTTTCGCCTTGGGGCAGAACAACATGCACTGGGTGATATCCTCCACCACTCCCTCCTCAGAGATGGAACAGAGATCGTCGAAGGCCTGCCTGTTGGCTTGGGCCCTCGTCTACTTAGCCAATTGTTAACAGGGAGGGCAAGGCTGAGGTGCAGGTCAGCGCCCGGTGTCAGTGTGTTCTCATTGGTGTGCTCTCAGCTTTGTAATTCTGCTTTCGACTTTGCTCATATATGCCTGTCCTGCTTTTGAGTCTTTTGCAGCTCGGGAAATTTGTGTTTCCATTGGTTGGTTCTTTGCATTATACACACAAGTTGGTTGGAACAGTCGTTTGCTTCAACTGGATAAAGTGTTTGGTAACTTTGGTTGGCTGGTCCTTGGTTAGCGTATTCAACTCCTTTTTTTTTTTTTTTTTTTTTTTTT